CTCGGAATGGACGCCCGTATAAGTATGGGCGAAACTTGGCGACTGCCCACACAAGAGAAGCACTCATGCTCCGTGATTTAATAGTTGAGCTCGGCGGTAGATAGCAGTCAGCTTGCATATGCTATAACACGGTCATGCCCACATTAACGCTGCAATAGCATTGCTCCTATGCCGTGCCCACAAGCGTCAGTGCGAACCTCCGTTAAAGCTGATGGATCAAAATAAGCTGAAATCGGTGGTGTTGTAAGGAGGGTCGTCAGCTGGGACAAATATAAGGCTTGATCAGCGTCCTGGGAAAATGGGGCGTCGTTCTTCAGAAGGTTTGTGAGTGGGCGCGCGATGATTGCGAAGCCCTTAAAAAACGTCGGAAATAGGAGAACAATCCCAAAAAACTGTGAACGTTCTTTGTAGACTTCAGAACAGGAAAGTCCGCTACGGCGCGAATTTTCTCGGGGTCCGAGCGAACTCCTGCGGCATCGACGAGGTGGCCAAGTACGGTTATTTGACGACGAGCGAAGTGGCATTTCGAAGAGTTCAACTGAAGTCCGGCTCGACGAAATACTTCAAGAATGGCCGATAAACGACCGATATAGGAGTCGAATGTGGGCGAGAAAACGATAATGTCGTCTAAATAACATAAGCAGGTTGACCACTTGAACGCTTGGAGCAATGAGTCCATCCTTCTTTCGAATGTGGCCGGCTCATTACAGAGACCAAAGGGCATAACTTTGAAATGATGAATACCATCAGGAGTGACGAATGCGGTCTTCCCACGGTCCATCTCATCGACAGCAATTTGCCAATAGCCAGATCAAAGGTCGATTGTGGAAAAATACGTAGCACCCTAAAGGCAGTCTAAGGTATCATTGATTCTAGGCAACGGGTAAACACCTTTCTTCGTAATTTTGTTGAGATGCCGATAATCTGTACTAAAGTGCCAAGTTCCATCCTTCTTCCTGATCATGATGACAAGAGAAGCCCAGGGGCTACACGAGGGCCTGATTATGTCTTTTGCAAGCATATCCCTTTGACTTCCTGTTTTATCACTGTACGGTATAACTATCAGTTAAAGCGCAAGAAAAACAGACATGAAGAGAGGACAAGCGCGATATAAAGTCGATGTGCTTTTCTCAGCCAAAGGCAAACTGCAGTCTATTTGTTCACGCGTGCGCAAAGAGTTTCCGCAATGTCGCATGAAACGCAGCAAAAAGTTCGTGGAGTGCGCAATGGGCGTTGTTTACATGACTCCTTTTAGCTGTGGTAAAGTGTATATCGGTCAGTCGGGAAGATGCGTCAATGTTCGTCTTAGAGAGCACGATTCTTCCTTGAAATCTGTGGGTGCATCGCATCTCGCGGCTCATTGCAGAGAGTGCGGTTGTTATCCTCTTTTACAGGATACTGAAGTGGTTTTTCGGTCAAAAAATAAGTTAACTCGTGAGTTGACAGAAGCTTTTCACATAAGAAAAAGAGGGGAACAATGCGTCAGCCAGCCTTCTGTTTTGCTGCACGATAAAGAGTTTGTGTTTCTAGATTATGTTCCGAGATAATCTGTCTTCTTTTACCATGTGTTCTCGATGTGCCACTGATGTACTTTTTTGCCTGCACACGCATGCGTCATGTTTTTCAGTTGCCTGTATATATATTCTGCCCTTTTTAATAAACAGTTTAGTTGCGAGAGAAAAGCGCTTGTCCTCTCATCATGTCTGTTTTTCGTGCGCTTTAACTGATAGTTATACCATGCATATCCAACCAGCCCAACTTTCGATTCTCTTATAACTGTACGCTCAGACACGGAAAAATGGTATGGACGTCGGTGAATGGAACTCGCGTCACCAGTATTGATGCGATGAATAACAACACTAGTCCGGCTTAAGGACGTGCTGGCGAAGTCGAAAATGTCACAATAGGACTTCAGGACGTCACGGAGGGTTTCCGCTTGATCAGGAGTGAGATCCGATGGTACCATGCGGTCAACATCGACGCCCGCTAAACGTGATAAAGCTGGATCACGGTCGGTGGTTCAGCAATCATCCACTCTGAATGCCTGAACCACATGACCTTGTAGGGCAGTAATTTCAGCCAGGGAGATACCTTGGGGAAGAATTTCGGCATTGACGGCAAATTTGACAATATAGGGAGGCATGCGCGGTTTCCTACAATTGTCAGAATCGTGTGCAGAACAGAGACGCCGTGCGTAAGCGTCACGGCGTGAATTGGTGCAACCTCGTAATTGCCGTCAGGTACAGGTGGCGTAGAGGAGAGGTCAATATGTGTAACATAGGTAGGTGGAAGGCGTACGAAATCGATGCAGCAAGGACGGCTTTGGGGTCGGTCGGTCGGATCGGAAAGTAGAGGCATCTCAGGGTTGATACAGCCAGCTGAACAGTCTATAAAGGTAGAGTGAGAGGTTAGAAAGCTCATACCTATAATTAGATCATGAGGGCAGTTTTCGGTAACGGCGAAAAGAACAGCAGTGCTTTTATCGGCAATAGTCACACAGGCAGAGCACATGCCAATAATGGCGGCAGTTCCCCCGTCGGCGACTCGAATGGCTCGGTTCAAGGCGGGTGTGACTACTTTCTTTAGTCGGCGACGAAGAGCAGCACTCTTGATGGACACATGCGCGCCGGTATCAATCGACGTGCGCACAGGTACATTGTCTAAAGTAACGTTCAAAAGATTCCGGGTGGTCGGTAATGTTACACGTGGATTTCTTGCAGAGGTCGTGGTCAATGCAGCTCCACCTCCAGAAGCAGCACTGCCTAGTTTTCTTGTCGGGGGCGCTGCGAATAGGTCGGAGAGGCAGGACGGCGTTGCGGGGGCGAACGAGATTGACGGCGAGCAGGGGATTGTGAGCGGGCGTAGCAAGGTTTCGTCAGAGCTGCGGCAGAATCAGAGAATGTGGTTGGCATAGGGGAATCGAAATCAAATGCTGAGGACGACTGGTGGACAGAAGTGACATGGGGGGGGGGGGCATAGTGTGCTGGCGTAGCCCAGTGATAGCGGCAGTAGCAACGCGTCGGCAGTTGAAGCATATGAGCTTGTCATCCAGTGTAAGCCATTCGGACATATTGCGATGTCGAGAGTACTTGGAATCAAAGCGAGGAGCGGAGAGACGATGATAAAAAGGTTCGGCAGAGCAGAATGGTTGAACAGGATGTAGGCCGACGTTCGATAATTCTTGATTAACGATGGCTTGCATCAGTGAGATCGTGGTCGGTGAAGGATCAAGCGTTGGGAATGGAGTAACTATTGGTTGGGCTGCCTCGACCTCGCGACAAATGGTGCGGGTGAGATTGTCACATCGGGGAACTTGTTGGAAGGCGTCATCGCATAAGTAGCTGCTGTGTTCGGCAGGCGCGCGATGCCGTGGGTGACGCGGCGGGCATTAGCCTGTTCTAGACGGCGGCATTCTTTCAGGAACGTGTCGATGCTCGTGACGTTATTAAAAACCAGCAGGATGAAGGCATCGTCAACAATTCCTTTGAGGACGTGATTGACTTTATCGTCTTCCGACATGCGCTGGTCAACCTTGCTACAAAGTGCCAGAACATCAAGAATGTATGACACATACGACTCAGTAGACGTCTGGGTGCGAGTGGTGAGAGTCCTCTTGGTAGTGAGCTGACGACCAGATGAATCACCAAAAAGACTACGGATCTTCGTTTTGAAGAAATCCCAGCTCGTGATTTCAGCTTTGCTTGTTTCGAACCATGTCCGCGGCGTGCCGTCGAGGTAGGACAGAACATTCGCGAGCATTAGCGTGTGATCCCAGCGATGGGTAGCACTGACGCGCTCGTACCAGCGCAGCCAGGAGTCAACGTCGATAGTACCGTCAGCGGGGAAAGTGCCAGCACCTCGAAGGGGCGGCAGGGTGACGTAGCTTGTGAACTCGGCTGGAGAGGCCGGTGGTGATGAGGTACTGGCAGTTCAAGTAGCCGAGGAGTTCCCGGTGTTGCGACCGCTGCTCTGCGCGTCTCTATCGAGGTACGGGAGTCGTCCACCTCCACCAACATTGTTGCGCGTAACTTATTTATTAAACTGTATGCGACGCACAGAGCTCGGCGAACAAGATGGCGCCAGTTCATCAACAACCAGCAACAAGTGTCGTCGTATTTCTCTTTCATGCAGCAAGGCTGCTGCGGCTGTTCTGTATCAATATGCTCTTGATTGATATAATTAGCCTTACTGATCGTTGAAGCCCACTTTAACCACATGAACGCACGTGGAAGTCCCTTCATTCACCATTGGCTTATCACTTGATTTACGAATAACTATTCGCCAACTTCATTCACACTTTCTTGTTTCGCATTAGTGTTCGAACTGAACACAGCTGTCGCATTTCGTGGAGGGCCTCGATTGCGGCACTTTCATTTGATGACCAGTATTATGAATTGTGCACAGTTTTTATGCTTTCTGGAAAAACGCTACAAGTAATGGCGCCTTTCAACATTCTCAAATAGGTGCCAATGAGAAAAAACGTTTTTGATGATGTGTGTGTACCTAATCAGCGGCAGGGAACCGTAAATTGAAGGGCTCATATTTTAGACACAATAACAATGAGAAGTGCTCTGTCGCTGCATAATGAGATCCAACAGACATTAATGCCAGGGAAAGCAGAGGGGATCTTATAAAAAGTAAATGTCAAGACAGAAAAGTCGGTGAAAAGATAGCTTGCCGTGGGCCAGGACAGAGGTGGCACTGAATCCCACATTTAGGCGCATACTCTGAAGTGGAAGGGCGGTAGCCGCCGTGGTAGACCAGTTGGTAGAACATCGCAGGCGTTATTAAAAGGTTTGGTTCCTGGCCACGAGAAGCTGTCCACTTTACTTCTTTTACTATACAAGTACTCTTTACTACATGGTTTCTCTGGCATTAATGTCTGTTAGATTTCATTATTCAGTGGCAGAGCACTTCTACGTGATTTTAAGACGACCGGCAACTTGCTGCTAGAACATTTCGAAAGAAAAAGTTTACTTGTAAGCTTCGAGGGAACTCACTCTTGCGACTCGACCACAGTTCGGCTCGACACAGATGCGACAGCATCGTTCTGCCAGGAGACCCTGGAAACAGATTAATCAGATAGTAATTAAAGCAGCAGTGATATTTAGCGCAAAAACATCCCCAATAATCTAGGAGCTTGTAATATAAAGCCACTTTGTGGGCTTGTCTAAAGCAAACGGACCACATAATGAAAAGGCTTCTGAAAATATCGCTTGACGAGAGAAAGAAACAACCAGAAAGAAAATATTTTTAGCAACAACCATTTTATTTCGCCGCAGCGTGTTAATGTACGCCCTTAAAACACAATAACTAATAAATAAAGATAAGGAGTTCTTAACGGCGCATGCGCGAAGATTATAGTAAGCGGCCTAACATTCATGTTGTTTTTCAGCAAGCCTTCCCTGCAAAAGCCATGCTTACGGATGAGTCATTGTGCGTTGAAATCCCGTGGGTCTCGAAGATATCTGTAGTCAATCGATTTTTTTGTCTTTTAGATACATTCTTTGGTAAAAGTGTAGCGTTTGCACAATGCTAAGCATGTGTGTAAGTTATCTAGTTAGGCTAGCCTAGCTGTGCTATCCGAGAAATTACAGGCTCCAACATGGAATGTAATAGGGCTCAGCCAAGTTAGGAGTAGACATGAGGCATACACAGTGTTGGAGAACGGACACGTCTTATGCTACCCCGGATTAGTGGACAGAGGTGGGCTAGTGGTGGCGTTTTTGATACACAAGAATATTGCTGGCATCAGAGAGCAACATTATAGCACTAGTGAGAGGGTGTCAAATATCGTGGTTAAACGAAACAGCTATTTGGAATAGTTGGTAGCGGTTCATAGATAGAAGTGGGGCGCAGTATTTAACATAAAGTGGAGGAGATAACAACAACGAAGCGCACACTCGCAAATGAAAACTGATTGAAGATGCAGCATATATATAGTCACGCCGCCCCAGGTGTGTCGACAAGGTTTACTGACGTCTGAGCAACAGGGCTCTAACCAAGCGCGTCGGTTGGGCTTGTTGCCAGAGCGGGGGCCCGCGCGCACTTCTTTCTTTTTTTGTGGTGTGTGCCTTCGCCTTGGCATACGACCCACTACTGGAAGTAGGTGGCAATATTCCTCCTCAACGAAAAAAGAAAGAGCATCGTCCCGCTGTTGTAAAGTTATTGCAAAAACAAACCAAAAAAAGTCGCTTACAAAATGAAAAAGGGCACCAATAATCAAATGTTACTCGCGATAAGTTCACCAATGATTAGGCGATTGTCGGAGCACAAATAAAACAAAACACGCAGGAAAAGTGGTCTTTTAGGAACGCGTAAAATAAGGCTTCATGCGCACCACGTGAACTATGTCAGAGGTCGGTTGTCTTCGTTGCACCCATCGTGACGACGTAGCGTCCGGAACCACTTCGTAGTTTACGTCACTCACGCGGCGTAATACTTTATATGGACCGAAGTATCTGCTGAGCAACTTTTCGGAGAGGCCACGGCGACGAACAGGGGTCCAAACCCAAACTTGGTCTCCCGGAATGTAAGATATGTCATTGTGACGCATATTGTAACGTCGCGCATCGACCTGTTGCTGCTGACCAATGTGTAGCCGGGCGAGCGGGCTAGTTTCCTCGGCACGCTCTGCAAATTTTTCTGCGTCAGTTGTTAATTGATCGGCGTCTTCACAAGGAAGCATCGCATCCAGCATCGTCTGAACTTCACGGCCGTAGAGAAGGCGAAACGGTGTAAATCGGGTTGTTTCTTGAACGGCGGTGTTATAAGCGAACGTCACATTAGGCAAAATGCGATCCCATGTTTTGTGTTGGACGTCGATGTACATGGAGATCATATTTGTGACTGTCTTATTTAGTCGCTCGGTTAAGCCGTTGCTCTGCGGATGGTAAGAAGTCGTCGTTCAATGCCTATAGTGTTACTTAGTCGAAAAACTTCATCAGTAAGCTGTGCAGTGAACGCTGTTCCTCTGTCGGTTATCACTGTGGATGGAGCACCATGGCGCAGAACAATGTGGCAAATGAAGAACTGTGCTACCTCAGAAGCCGTGGCTCGTGGTATCGCCTGTGTCTCAGCATAGCAGGTCAAATAGTCAGTTGCAACAATGACCCATTTGTTGCCGTCGGACGATAAAGGAAATAAGCCGAGAATGTCCATACCGACTTGGTCATATTGTAACGATGTTGAAGGACTCGGGGTATAACAAAACGTATTTATTAAAGGGCGAACCTGTGCCCACAACTCAAAGGGACTATGGTCGTAGCACGTTACAGCAGAACGGCAAGATGTCTTCTTCTTCTACTTCTTCAAGAAGAGTCCCAAGCGCGTGGCACACATCAGCAGGGGCCAGCTGGGTTCTCGTGCTATCATCATCGTCTCTGCGCAACACTAGACGGCGCCCATGTATGTCTCTGTGCGCGTGGTGATGGGCGCGTTGTTTGAATGCGGGCACTATGTCGCGGCAATATGGCTTGTGGGGCGGATCAATTGGCTGAAGTAATCCAGCCGGCTCGCTTGGTGGCGATTTTCGACGCTGGCATTCACGACAGCTTTTGACGTACTGCTTCACGCTTGCCGAAAGTCCGGGCCAGTAGTACGCCTCACTTAGTCTGGCGAGCGTTCGCGAGTAACCTAGATGACCAGATGTGGGCTCGTCATGACACGCGGTGAGGACTTCGTCCCGCATGTCCTTCGGAACGACGAGGAGGTAAGCGCGGCTCGTAGAACGGGCGTTTTTTTTTTGTACAGGACATTATCTCGGAGGCAGAAAGACGTCACGACGCGAGATAGATGGCGAGGTATAACGGTGCTATGACCCTCCAGATAGTCGATGAGCGGTCGAATCTCTTCATCCTCTCGCTGGCGTCTGCTCAAGTCAGATGAGCTAAGGGCGCCCAGGAAACCGTCATCGTCCTCTTCTTCTTGATTGACTAAAGGTATGGGTGCACGCGACAGTGTATCAGCGTCTTCATGCTTCCGTCCAGACTTATTACGATGGTCACATCAAATTCCTGTAGACGCAAGCTCCATCGAGCCAGCCGTCCAGAGGAATCCCGTATGTTTACCAACCAGCAGAGGGCATGGTGGTCTGTCACCACTTTAAATGGACGACCATAGAGGTACGGGCGAAACTTGGTGATCGCCCACACTACGGCGAGACACTCTTTCTCTGTGGTCGTGTAATTCACCTCGGTACGGGACCGTGAGCGGCTGGCATAGGCTATGATTTGTTCTTTGCCGTGTTGATGCTGGACGTTGATGCTGCAGCCCATACAAACGGTGTGTCGTCGCGTGTAAGGTCTGCAATACGTGAGGGAGCGGTGCTGTCGCGGGTCTCTCTAAATTTGTCCCATTCTGTGAGCATCAGTGGTTTAGGTGCAATGGGTCTGTATTTTAGTTGTAAAGTGATGCTAATAATGTAATGATCACTGCCAAGATTAGTTTGGGTGTTAGTCCAAACCATTGTGGGTGCATTGTGAGTGAGGGTAATGCCAGGGGATGTATCTTTGTTCACACTGTTCCCCAAACGAGTAGGCTCCTCCGGGTCGTTGTGCAGTGTAAAACGATGTGCCTGAATATGTGACCAGAGGGCTCTACCTTTCGGTGTAGATGCGGGGTAACCCAACGCTGTGTGGGAGGCGTTGAAATCCCCCACTATGAGGAGGGTGTGTTTGCCTGCCAAGGATGTAGCTCGGGCAAATAGGGAATCGAAGTGGTGCCTTTGCTCTTGTGGTCTGCTATATACGTTGAGAATGTATAAGAATGGTGAGTTAAGTTTATCAGGTAGTATTTGGAGAAAGTCGTGCTCAATGTCTATGTCAGCAAATTTTGAATAGGTAACTGTAAGATACTTCTGAGTTAAGACAGCAGTGTTTGGTTTAGTATCAGCCGGGTTTTGATGCGTTCTATAACCTGGAAGCTGCACAACACTATTTGTTTCTTGTAACGCAATGATCGGGGGAGGGATAGTTTGTGATTTGATGTACTGCAGGAGGTTCGCCTTTTTTCGGCGAAACCCCCTGCAGTTCCATTGCCATACGCAAAGTTCAGTGCGGTTACAAGCAGCCATTTTCGCTAGGTTGATTTGGCTTAGGTTGGGCAAGCTCTGGATGGTTAGCGTGGACCGTGTCGATCCACTGCGTGACTCTATCTATGGTTTGTTGCGTCGTTAACATGACTTGTTGTATCGAGGCCATGGACTCAGGTAGCTTCTGCAAGGAAGCTGTGGAGAAGGTAATAAAATTGTCTAGTTTTTCCTCAAGTTTGGTTACTTTTTCTTTCTCTTTGTCACTTTCTCTAGCTTCGCTTCGACTTGGTCTACTCGCTCATCGAATGACAATGTGCACAGTAAAAATTTTTCCAACCAAAAAGTGTAAGAAGGGTGCTTTTACGAAAAAGCACCCTTTGCAACACCCTTTAACACCCATAAATGGTCGATTGAAAAAAAAGCACCCCTTTGTTTGGGTGCTTGCCTCGATAGCACCCTAACATAGGCTTTAAGGGTGCTTTTGTGCCTGAAAAGGGTGTAGGTGACGATTCATCAGATGGAATATGCAGCATAAGAAGAACACATAATTATAATATTTGGGATTTCACATCTCAAAAACCTCGATATAATTATGAGGGTCGTCGTAGTAGAAAGCTCTAGGGATTTTGACCATTTGGTGTTCTTTAATGGGCGCTGATATCGCACAGTGCACAAGCTTCTACGTTTTCGCCTCCGTCTTAATTCGACTGCTATGGCCAGCATTGAACCCGCGACCTTCGGATTGGTGGCCGAGGAGCGTAGCTACTGCACGAATATGTGGACCTTGCGTTGAATGATGGCCTAGACTTAGAATGTGTGAAAGTGCTCTCCGAATACAGCAGAATGCCATCAGAACCAAATCGCGTTTCATCTATAATGGCAATTAACTGCAATCCACGTTACGAAAGCTCACCTTAGCGTGGGTTATAAGCTACATGTTTGCCATGGATTATATACAGGAACATAGTGTTCGCCCGAGTATGGGTGTGTGTGTGCGTGAGCCTGCGCAAGTGTTCGCGTGTAAGCGC